CTGCGGCTGCATCTCGGGAGCGTTTGAGATGAACTTGGACTGCTGCTGCTGCTGCTGCTGCAAAGAGTTGGGCCCCGGGTGTTGTCTCGAGTTCATGTCTTGCATGTGGTTAGGCCCTTGTCGCATAGGAAGCTGATATTGTCGTTCCATGAGCTGCGCGCCTGGCATACCAAAGGCTTCGGCTTCCCGTAGATCTTCTAAAATCGGTAGAGGGGGCGACTCGCGAGGCGGTAGGGGATTCGCTGGGGTAATCATGAGATACATAAACTCGGATTGGCATTGGTCCAGAAACGTCTTGAGCTCTGTTCGCTGTGACTCGTCGTCTGTCTTCTCGACTTCGATGCCTTCAACGCCGGGAACGGGTTGTTTCTCTGATGAAGCTGGTGTTTTCGGTCAGCAACGGTTAAAGTCCAGGCTCATATCGCCGGGGAAAAGAAAGGATAGCCCACATCGCAACTTTTCTTGAATCTTGGCAGCGCGATCCTTCTTCGCCGGGTCAGCGTCCTCGGTAGCAGAGGTGCCGTTGAGTTGCGCAGCCTGGTCCTTGATCTTTCGTTCAAGGATAGATACGTATTTCTTCAGCGCCTTCTGCGTAGCGTCTGCCCTTCTCGCTTGGCCCTCGAGGTTCGCTATCCTCCCCTTCATCTCCTGCTTCTCAATCTCCCAGGCATTTCGGTCGCGTTCGTGTCGGTGCCACTCCGTCTGCAGAAAGCGCATCACGCCCTGAAGCGTATATTCAGTAGCCGGCGGCTGGTTGGACGCATTGCCCTGCATTGCGCCGCTGAGATCCATTCCTCCGAGGCCGTTGCCAATATTCGAGCCCATGACGGCGCGCCTAGCTTATCTGCGTGGGTGCATCGAGAGGAAGCTCTGTTCGCAATGAGGAAAAGCTTCCCAGCCTGGGCGTCAGAGGGCGGGATGAGAAGGAGCTTCACGCGCCTCGGGCTCACTGAGAGAAGCTGTGGCGTGTTTGTTCCCCGCCTAGCCTGTCTGGCAGCCCTTGTGCCACGTAATCGACCGGTATCGTTGAGCTCGCCTAGTTGAGGAGGTGACGATTCGCATATGCTCAACAGAAGCTCTGGCGAATAGGTGTCCGTACGCTATGCTGTCGCTGGGATCTAACTGCTAGACTAGCACGCCGGCCAATCAGAGGGCGCGGCTGCCGTGAGGCCGCAAGGCATCAACCTTTTTTCCGACCCCCTGAGCGTGCAGCGACGCTATCGATGGCGGGGTCTTTTTTGGACTCGGAAGCTGCACGATGGGCATTGCAGAGTTTCATCGATGACGCGCCGTACAGCCTTATACGAACGTTGTTGCATTTGATTACATCAGCTCTCTTGTGAATTGTTCTTTGACAAGTTTTTATTCTTTTATTGCATGCTGCTGCTTTTTCTTCAACATATATTCCATCATACCTACAGAGTACAGAGTCCGTACATGAATATCGCCATATAGAGCATGACCCACATCTTTTCAAGCATAAAACAACAACATATAAATGTTACATCTTTCAGCCAAATCCTCACATTGACCAACACCTAGACCAATTCCAAAGTCTTGATTTCAGCGTCTTGCCACCACTTTGATCCATACATCTTTCCAACCCCAATTCTATGGTACCTTCCATCATCCCGTTGCCGCACCATCAACACCCAATAATGTCGAAGCTTCTTCGAAACGACCTTGCCAGTTCGCCTCTCAGCTTGCTCTTCTCGTCGTCCAATGCTGCCCATAAGGGCAAGACACAGAATCGGTTCAGAAGTCGTATCTTCCGAGGCAAGGTCAAAGACGACCCATCCTATGGGAGAATCACCTTGATCCAAGATGAAGTGGGCCATGGATTTGGTTGACTTGGCGTGAGACGATGTTATATCCGCGTATATTGCTTCAGAAGTAGCATCTCCTTGTTTAAATTCTATCGTTGTTGTAAGGTTAGAAACTCGCTTTGCTCGTACTTGAAGACTCATTCGCCTTGCGTCTTCGCCGTTCAAAGCAATCGAGTCACACAAATTCTTGGCTCTATCAATTGTCAAAAATCGCACTCCGGATGGAACATGCGCCCAAGTCCATGTCGGTAGCTTGAGAGGATCCGAAATAGCAGTCCCCTCTATCCTTCTGGTTACTTGCCAGAGTAACTGGTTGGGGAGAGACTCTTTCCATACGCCAAACGCGTATTCACATGCAATCTTTTTGCCCAGCTCCCTCCGCAGACCCTCGAGCGCAATTAGTCTGTCCGTTGGAAAAGTTAACTGGCGGTCGCTGTACTGCTCTATTATATTCTTCCAGCGGGTATTTCGCGATACACTGTAGCACCGCTCTCCAGTCTCGCGTTGAGTGATGGCCTTGCAAGACCAGATGATGGTTCCCTTGGTGAAGAAGACTATGCGCCTAGACAAAAGCCATTCTTGCGTAGCCCAGGCACGACTGTTGAGTGCACCGAACTCGGGAAAGGTGTTGGTGGCTGTATCCCGCCGGATGGTTGCGAATACTTGTACTTTGGATGCGGCATCTGTCTCGTGGGAGAAGAAACCGGGAATCTCTACAGAGGGAGGCGGTGGGCGGCGGGCGAAAAAGAATCCCTCCCAGCAACCCGGAGTATGAGAAGCGGCGATGGTAATCTCTGCCTGCTCGTAAATAGAACCCATGCGCTTCGACTCCGTCAGCCAGTCTTGATGGTCATCTTGCACGATACATAGCGAGTCAATCCAGACATATTCCAGGCCAATATTGCGAGTGACTGTGATTGCATCTCGAAAAGTTTTTGGAATCGACGCCCACGGAATATCACGAAGATGCTCCTGGAGATTCGCCCGAGTTGTCTTCAGGGGCTGTCTCCCAGAAGAGCCCCAGCAATGACTCAAGGTGGCATATCTTCCGCGCCGGCCTCCTGACGGCAGCAGCCTCACGCTGTTACCAGCAACATGGATCACTCTACTCGGTAGCTCTGGCAGTCGAGACTCGTCCAAGAGCGCCCCCGATAGAGTTTCCCGACAACATGGATGATCCCTTTTACAAGCGCCCAGCCACCGTTCAACTAGGCAAAACGCCTCGGGGCTCGCTGGTTCTCGCAACTGAGGCCGGCCTACGATGTCATGACGGTTGCGGGGGCCTTTGCCTAATCGTTAGATGTAAGCTAAAAAAACGCCCTTTGACTGTATCATACTGCTATGAAGCCCACATACGCTGGCCATGTGTGTAGAGCCGGATCTTGGCTTGCAGTAATTGCCCAGTAATTGACTCTGTTGCAGTGACATTCAGCCCCGTCAAGTGCGAACCCCCGGTTGGCGGGTCTGGAAACGTCGATCCCTGAGAGTCCGACTTTGGCTCGAGAACGACAGCTTCACGGGCCAACGAGAGCGCCGCTGCTGGACCGCCCTTGTCCTTGTTGACAGACGCCTGAAGGCTGCCGAGAAGCGCCTCTTGGACGAGGCCACAGAGCCGGCACCGCGTTGCCGATTTGGCCAGGGAAGAACCGTCTTGGAGCAACACCATTCCCTGTTTCGCCCCCAGACGAGACGCCAGGCCAGCAGGCAGCTCTCGCTTCAGAGCGCTGAGCGAGACGGAGCTGCATCGCTCGCACAGCTCCAGCTCCAGCTCCAGCTCCAGCTCCATGATTCCCGCAAACGGCCAATAGCGCTTCGCGGGGCTCAAGCCACCATGCTTCTATCAGATGCGCAAAGGATGGGTGGCTTCTGGCTTCTGGCTTCTGGCCTGCCGTGCGATCGGCGATACTGCGTTGAAGGAAGAAAAACGTGACTAGAGCCAAGGACCGCGCTGCCCGTTGTGGCATGGCGGCCGCTAATCAACCTTGGCGGTTAGCCACGGCAGCCTCGTCTCGCGAAGCTCATGCTATCAATCTCGTGATGGCTTCTACGGTGGTGGTGTTGCGACAACATCCCTGTCAGGTGGATGGCTTAGGACTATTTGACATATCTTGATGAATGACATTGACTAAGTAAATGCAGTCACGCGGCGAACTTGGTGAGCTAGAGCAATAATTGGTGCCCTCAAGGACCGTTATAATGATCTTCTCTAGCTAAACGTAATTTTTTTTTTTCAATGTCGCTTCCATCTCACTCCAATTATCGCGGACTCTTTTCCTTTACTATGCCGAACATAGAAAGAGCTTATAGGCGAACCTTTTTCTCTTCTTTTCTTCTGTCTCTCAGCCGCCCGCAAATGTGGAAACCCCCAGAACTCTCTTTTTGACAGCTCTAGAAGCTCAGAGGGCGCCCGAGACAAAAGGCGAGGCCATACATGCATAAACAATCATCACGTCAATGGCGCTGGAATCGAACTATCTGCATGTCAGCCCAGACAATCTCCGGCTGTTTCGGAGGGGCTCCAACTCTTTGCTTGGAAAAATCGTAGTATCCGGTTTCTGGGCTTGGTCCCCCTAGTAAACCCGAGTCATAACCTTATTTTCGTCGAATGTTTGAAGAGCTTTACTTCTTTTTCTCACTGTGTGGGAATAAGAGCTGAGCTCGGGAAGCTTGGAGCTGGTAGCTACTTGGTACATGTAGTTTTACCCATATCAGCTTGTTCAGAGTTTTCAGAGTTCTGACATGAGAATTGAGAAGCACATCACAAAGCCACTTAAACACACATGATAATATCAATGTCAATGGGTCTGTTTTTTTTCCTCGTGTTTTTTCGTTTTTGATTTTATTAGAATATTACTGTGTCAACTAGGCATTATTACTAGCTAGTTACAATATTATGATTAATATATCTTGTTTATCAATCAGGGTTTCTTGAAGGTGTCTGACGAGAAATTAACGGTTGAAGGTCCTCTCGACAGAGCCGTTTTTTCGAATTAAAGTTGAAGCCTGAAGAAAACTGGAAGCTTGAGCAGCCGAATAAGTTTTTTTTTCTTTTCCTTTTCGTAATTGAAGCTTCTTCATCCCGAATGAATGAATCAAAGGAAAAACTCTCACGCCACTCTCACACCTGGGTATCAAAATTAGAGAGGGCTCAGATCCATTCAAGCTTGGCGTAGATTAGACAACAGTGGAGGTGGCTGGGGCCGCCGTGTGGGTTTGCTGAGTTCCCATGGTTCCCATGTGCTCGCCTCCCATGTGGTGGGTGGTTCCCATTTGCTGACCTCCCATGTGCTGAGTTCCCGGAGCTGCGACGGGTGGCGGTGCAGTGGTGCCAGTTTCTCCAGAGATGGTAGAATCAGGTCGCTCCTTGGTGTGGTGGTGATGTCTGGGCTCGTTGACGGCATTTCGTCGGTGAGCTCTCACGAGGAAGACTTCGATGAGCAGATTGCACAGGATAAAGAAGCTAGAGGCAGATACCGTTAGTGAATGAAAAGTTTTGATGCGAGAACCGTCGGCTTACAATCCAATGAAAAGCCATGCTTGAATTGCATGCTTCTTGCTGCAGTTACCGGGGGCCGGGAACGAATTGCGGCATCGGTTGTGGCTCCAGCTCAACGAAGCAAAGATGAATGCCGTAAGCCACAGGTAGCTGAAGATGAGATGCAAAGGTGCCAAGAGTCCCCCGTACTTGGGGAGGCATGGTGCAATGGCTCCGACAAGATAAACAACCATGGAAATGACAGCCTAGGGAATATGCGTTAGATGGTGGCAAATGATGGGTCGAGTAATGAAAAGGGGGAGATTTACAATGACTTCCATATACACAAGTTGAACATTTCGGTTCGAAAATTTTTGTAAAAGGTTACCGACGACGGCAGTGACAATAATGGCCGAAATAAATGTAAAGATGTAACAGACGAGCGAGCCCATCCGCAGGCCCATATTGCCGAGACCAGAACCTAACGCCATCTTGACGGTGTTTTATGGGCTGTTGTGTTTCAACGATTAATCTTTTTGCGTATTGGGTATCTCAAACAACGAAACGTCTTCTAGCGATGGAAAAAAAGGAAGAAAGGAAGAAAATTGAAGTACAAGAGCTGTGGAAGCTTTTATATATATGAGATATCATTCATTCCAGCTCCCAATGGCGCCTCTGCCGGCCTCACCACACCATCTTACCTTGTCAAGCACAGTGCCGACTGAGCCGATGTCGACAAAAGGCGAAGAATGCCTGGCTTCAACAAGGTTTTGGCCATTATGAAGATAAGAGGAGGAAGCTAAAGGAGTCCAAGGCTGGAGTGGCGTGTTTAAGCCGGTGCTAGCACTGGCAACAGAGCAGCCGCTTGGACAGAGCTAGATGTAATGCTTACATTGGGCGCGGGAGAAGAAAACGCCACATCATGCCGACAGAATCCTGACAGCAATGCGGCCTTTTGTCACAATGAGCGTTGAAAAATCCAAATTGCTTCGGTTTTCTCTCTCTTTTAGTTGAGCAAAGTGACTTCTCCACGGGGCTTTGTCGAAAGGGCTAGCCATGACGCCGTTGATCGGACACATGCCCTTCCCGTCTGCTCCGAGACGAAAGCCCGCCTTTTCGGTAAGACGAGATTCCTCATCGATGATTTGCTCCAGCAGCTGAATAGTTGCTACTGAAAGCTTCAATGCGTCAAAGTCCTTTTTACCAAGATCGGCGTGCGGCTGGATCGGGAGGATCTAGAGAGGACGAGTTCGGACATGTAGCCAGAGTTGGCAGTGAGCCGTAGAATTTCGCTTGGGAGTATTTGCACTTGGTACCGTTTAGACGAGGGCTGTCAGGCTTTGTAATAATTGAAGCCAGCGAAGCCGGCCAAGCTCCATGGCGTTTGTTGATGAGCAGTGTTGAACTGTGATGGGACACGGGAGAGTATCACAAACTCATTTAACGATGGACGATGACATCACAAAAACTCTAACTGCGGCCACGGAAACATGTAGAATAATCCAGTGCCTTGGGTTAAACGCCCGCGTAAAGATTATCTTATCAGGTCATCTCTGCACTTGGGCTCGTTTGTGATTTGTTATTCATCACATTAGTGTGGAATCAAATCATGGCTTCACCACATTGCTATTGTGGCCATTCAACCCGAGAGTATGCACCTTTTATATCGTGATTCTAACTTCTTCTTCTCCATACAAAAGCTACAGCTCCGCATCAATTACACGTATGAATTCAAGGCGTTGAAACAAATCCCTACAATGGAACGGAGACGCCATTGAATATTCAAGATTAGCTGCAGGATTCTCCAATGATAACATTATGCTGCATCAGCATGGCCCAGATGGTGAGATATGGGGGAAACAAGCTGACTCCCTGTAAACACCCTGAACTCGAATGTCTTTGATGCATGCAACTTGTCTTCACTTGGCTGCTCATATGCCATTAAAACGTACAGTTACATCTTTGGCAGTTCGCTTGCATGTGGAGAGCCTCCATTGCATATGCACGTCTGCCGTCCACTAGCAACTCCACCATTCTCTCTAGCTCTGCAGCCGAATCGCCAGAAGTGGAGTTGTCTTGGACTGCATATCGTCGAGGTGAATTCAGCCAGCGTCAGGGGAATGTTGCAAAGGTGCTCATATTCTCGACAAGCATGTACCTGCTTCCACCAAGAAATGCCTGGAGTTGGCTCACTGCCAGCTTAGCACACAATTTTCAGGTTACAGCATGTTAGGCGTTAATTAGGAGGCCGATTCAATGCTACTTGGGTACCTACAAACGGCATTTTTGGTGCCCCACTAGTACTTCTAGTAGGCACAGGTACCATATACGTACGTACCTGACGTTTGGTTTCTGGCAACGTACACCTAGCATTATATCGAAACGCAATTCAACCTAATCATCAAATTTTATCGCACATCATGGATGAATCCATCGCGCCGCGGCCTAACGATGGCTTTATATCATCTCCATCACCTCCATCACCTCCATCATCTCCATCATCTCCCAATGCCGCATCTCTTTACGGAATCGCTCAACGTCATAGCAGAGAAAGAATCCTTGTTCAACCACTTCGCTGGACCAGTCGTCACCTCGAGCTATTACGAATCTCCTTCGATGAGCCTTCTCCTGCGCCAAACATAGAAATCACAGATTGTTATAAGGGACCTGCAGCTCCTGAGGAGACACGCTTGGAATACCTCCTGCAGAGATTCCATCTGTTAAAAAGCCGAGAGGACTATTTTGGCGCCTTGCTCTGCTGTGGTTCGCCAATCTCCTTTTTTTGGTTCGTACTCTTCCATTCCAGTCTATTTCTACAACTTTTTCTAATTGGAAGACAACGCATAGGGCTGATTTCCACATTGCATTGAACAGACCCAGCATTAACTTACTCTCTTCTCCAGCACCTTGCGAAGGCATTTGCTTTAGTATGCCGCGCGCTCAGTGGCCAGATCCAGAGTATCCAATCGGCGCATACATTGATCGCGAACGTATCGCAGAACTGCGCAAAGAGTCACTACATTTTCACATGTGCAACCCCCAAAACGCTCCCGTCTACTCAATGTTGAATCACAAATTGGAACAACTCAGGCCTACAAATCCATTCAAAGATCCATATATAGCAGCGCTTTTGATTGCTGTAGCGCAAGAACGAAGGTCTATTCTCAGGGCAGAAAAACCAGAAGATTTGTCCACCTTAGCAATATACCCGGTATGTATCCCAGCGGCCATATGTCATGTCAAATACAGCGCTAATATCAATGTAGTCGCAAGTTCTATACTCGTCTGAATCTAGAGACTACATTCATCTTTACAAAGCAGATATCCCTTGCTCGTTTCTGGATATGCTTGATTATCCTAAAATTGCACCGCCAGAGGTGCCTCGGATATTAATACAGGCTTTCAAGATTCCTCGCACACCCGTTGGTACGTTTCGTGATCGCATTCTTGCGTTGGTGCTTCAGACAACCTCCGATCATTCAATAAAGTCAGAAAATTAGGTTTAAATAGATAAAACTGGCAGCAAAACTCGTCTTTCAAACACGTACACTTAATTTACACTGATGTGAAGTTGTATCAGGAAGCATTTGCTTGCTGCAGGTATTTTGATAACTCTTTAAAAGAGGGAGAGAATGAGAATAGTGATGCATTACGATTTTTTTTGCCGTGATTGATACATTACTTCGTGATAGATTACAATATAATTCATGGCAGCGTATTGCACCCCATTATTCTAGACACTTCCACCCTGCTCTATTCTTAAATTCGAGTCAATGCAGTGAATCACTGCTCTAGACCCACTGAACGATGCAAGGCAGATGCAGCTTTCCTATTGAATGAGAAAACAATAGACGTTTCAATGATAGCTGACTGGTAAATAAAGCTTAAGAGAGGCCCGTTTCATCCTCGACTCACTTCCATTTGAAATTCTCCTTTCCGCCTGCACATTCCCTTGACTTTTTGTTCAAACGACTTCTGCACCCTCTGCGCTTTCTTCCCGTCTGTGAAGGAGATTATCAATACAACAAGGCAAAAATATTCTTTCACGATTGTTCGTACCCCTTGCTTTCCTATAATCTACAAGTCGCCTCGTTGTCTTTCTACTGACACTGGCTATAGGCCTCACGAAAGAGAATTTTTACGATGAATTACGAACAAAGAGTAAATAATGAGTCCCAGTTTCGACAGAAAGCCAGAGGCAAGCAAACCTTCAGTCAGCTCTATGAAGACAAAAAATGGAAGGCCGGAGCCAGCAACTGGGGAACTCCCGAGCTGTTTGCTGCACGAGCAATTTGTATGCCAACAAGAAGACTCATGGATCCATTACAGGAGTTTTACTCCAATAGATTTGACTACAACAATGCTCACCCAAGTCTTCGGATGTTCTATCTTGGTTGCGGCGATATGAATGACTTAGCCTGGCAATCCGAGCCAAAATTGGTCCAGGCAGCTGGCTCTAATAACCTTGGCGGTATCTGGGCCGCATTGGGCACTCTTCTTAGAGGAGAGAAATTTGCTCTTGGGAACTACGGCCTCAACCAGGGTCCGACCGGTCCATCTAGGCCAACCCGGCAAGCGGCTATGCAAGCACGGCGTCCCCAAGAGTCAACGGGATCGACTCCTCAATCAGGCTCGGGATCTAGGTCTCCTTCTGTGTACGCCGCGAGCAGTTCCTCGGAGTCTCTTTTGGGTTACGGGCCAGACATACCTGGACCCCTTGTTGAAGACGCTACTGTCCGTCTCATAAGCTCAATTGTGAGACATATTCTCAACTACCAGCAAGATACAACACAAGCGAGGCTATTAAGTTGGCGTGATCAGCGAGTCACTTATGGCTACAAAGGTGATTCCCGTACCGTCTCAGCTACAGACGACGGAGGTGTGGAAATGTGGTCGCCGGGCAACCAGAACTTTCGACAAGTCGCCTTGCTAGAAGCCAAGCGAAGCTTACGCAACGTTGGAGGACAGCCTTTTGTCAGTGACGAAATCCTGGCTCAAATGGTGGGCCAAGCAATTGCACTACAACGGTCGAATTCAAACTACGTCGCTGCTTGTCAAAATAGGTATGTATGCAGCTAACGTCTCCCCTTCCAGATTTGTGTGTTTGGATACTAAGATTTCTGTGTCTACTTAGGTCGGTCACAATTTTGGCATCGACACATTTTATCCGATTCTATTTTTTTGACTTCTCGAGCAATTATTTCCAGGATGATAAGTACGAAAACCAGGCTTTGGAAAACAACGAATGCCGCATGCGAATTTACCCAACCGGCTGGTTGGATATCACAAAGGATAAGCATCGAGAAGATATTATTCTCCATGTAGATGCACTTTTGAGATGGGCCAGCAACCTTCCATGAAGACGTGTGAGAAGAAGACGGGTGATGAAAGCCAGATGTCGGTCCTGGATCTGGCCCTGGTCCTGGTTTAGTTCTTTTTCTTTTTTAGGTCCAAGGATACATAAACTATAAGAATCATGAGAATATGTACCCAAGATAAAAGGGTGGCGACCAGAAGTGGCAATATATATGTGGTAAAATTGAGGTATAAAAGCATTTAGGAGTCTTGGCAGGGCCTGCATTGAACCACTTTGTGTGTGATTTCGACTTGAATCTCGCTTGATAGTAGGCACCTCTAATTTCTAAACACGTGTAGAAGTAGCAGATATAGCAGATATAGCAGATATAGCAGATATAGCAGATATAGCAGATATAGCAGACATAGCAGATATAGCAGATATAGCAGATATAGCAGACATAGCAGATATAGCAGATATAGCAGATATAGCAGATATAGCAGATATACAGACAGCCACCTCGGGACTATCGTTTGGGATAAGCGACAAAGTGTGCTGATGCACGCTGCAGACTAATATTCTCTGAAATCCATGCTGCAGCCTTATTGCTACGACTAATACCGTACGTAATACTGACCACAGGTTACCGTCGCACAGGCTGTGTCCCCTTGCGGTATATTGTTTACCCCGCCGGATCGCCACTGCATATAAATCCAATGCTACCCACTAGCAGTAAACACCAACACGCTCCCTTAGACCGTCCATCTCGACGCTAGGCACGATTAGCAGACCGCCGACTCTCCCAAACCCGATCGCAGCTGGGCATCTCCCGCGTCTTAATTCCATCCACCGCGAGGCTGCACGGGCACTGCGCTGGCACATGCTCGTCCACTAGGGCCCTGAACCGAGACTCGACTCGCGCCTGTCCGAGGGGCTCCCTTGCGGGAATCTCATGCACAGTCGACCGTCCCCAAAGCTCCATCAGTCTCCACCGGCGGCTCGCATATCGGCATCAGCCATCTCCATCTGGGTCCAGCTCTAGGCCCGGCTCAGCTGCGTCCACCGCTATCGCCTCATTTGCTGCTCGCCAGCATGTCCTCGACATCTCAGCGACGACGGCGGCGGGATGAAGACGACTATATCCCCTTTGGCCCCCCATCTCTCCCCAGCACTCAGACGCACCTGGACATCATGTCCTCGGAAGGCTGGCCACCGCCGGTAATCATGTCCGACTCGAGCGACGAGGACCTTCGCGAACTGCATCGAACGCCTGCGCGACAAATTTCCCGCCGTAGCGGAATCCCGCACATCGACGCTCTGACGGCGCTCAACCCCGACAGATACTCGCCAGACCTGTACTCTGTCCACTCTGACCCACCAAGCCAGACGCCGATGCTTGTGGAAGATGACGCCGGACTGCGATCGCAATACGCCGGCAGACATTCACAATACTACGCCGCGAGCAACCCCCGTCCAGGACCGCAGATCAAGCCACACCTGTCCTCCTTGGACATTCCTAGACGCTATGGCAGCAATGCCATCCTCGACATGTACGCGCTCACCTACGTTGGCGACCCGGACCCGAATCTGCTGTGTCCCATCTGCCACGACCCCCTCGTCGACCCTGTGACGACCCCTTGCGACCATACATTCTGCTATCGGTGCTTGCGCAGAAGCATGGCGTCGAGCCCCGCCGGTGGCGTCTGCCCAATAGATAGAGAGCCTCTGCTATGGACAGACTGCACCAGTTCGATACGGCTGATTCGTACCCAGCTGAATAACTTGGTTGTCAAATGCCCTCACCATGGCAGAGGCTGCGAAGAGGAAATGAAGCGGGAGGTGGTAGAACGGCACGCGACTGTGGAGTGCGGCTTCCGGGAGTTTCCTTGTCCAGATACCGACTGCGAAAAGACTGTTCGCTACAAGCCGACTGATGATAAATGCCAGCATCAGGAAAGCAACTGCGAGTTCTGCGACGCGATTATTGAAGAAGCCGATAGTGATATCCACCTGCTTCAATGCCCCAGGAGCAAGACTCGATGTGCGGCCTGCTGGGCAATGATCCTCCGTGAAGACGAGGAAGTCCATCGGAGCGTCGATTGTGTTTCCATTGAGGTGGCATGCCGCTTTCAAAGCGTCGGCTGTCCCGTGAGAGTCATACGAGCACACCAGGAGCTTCATGCCCTTTCATGCCCTTTCCACCCAGACTCGCCCTCTGGTGCCATCATACGCAGCCAACGCGAGATCATAGAGACATTTGGCAACCTAGGCAGCCAGATCCGTCATTTACGCGCCAGGCAAGACGAGACCAGCCGACGGCTCGATCAAGTTTCCGGGCCGCCCCCCCTTAACCGTCCGGGCGAACCTGGATTCAGAGACGCCAGAGCAATGCAGGATCTTGATGTTGGATTCGGCGAAGTCCACCACAACTTGAACAACCTCGAGCGCCAGAATGTGTGGACTGTCAACCAGATTGTGCCTGTCCGGGAAGAAGTTACTGAACTACGCAATAATATCAATATGATTCGAATGCAGGTCAACTGGCTCATGAGCCGCAGCCGCGAAGAAGTCCATGCGAGACCAACTTCCAGTGGCACTACACGGCCCACGTCAATGGGATCCGATACGGTGCAGGAGCCACTGCCTCCCATGGTGCGCCAGAGACGGCGATCGACCAGTGTGGACGTTGATCTTCCACGACTATAGACAGCGAGGTTTTTTTGTTAAAGTAATTGAGTCATTTGGGACTGGTGGTGCATTTACGAGCATGGAGGCCATTGAGCAATATACCAATCAGGGCGTATAAAAACTGGGAGATTTTTTATGTTTTGCTCCCATTGTTGTGGGAGCTAGCTTATATCTACTTACTTGTGTCTAGCGAATTCAAAGAAAAAAGAATTGACCATGGTAATCTGTGTCTTGAAGATTTTCTAATTCCAATGGGGAAGAATAAAGAACAGCCCTCATCAATATCTTAACGCCGAATATCGCTGTTTGGCAACTCCGCCGTGCAGATGGCGGTATGCTAGAGTGCGGCCACGATAAAGGAGAAATCCGCAACTCGGGAGCCAAGGAGGAGCTTATTTCTACTCCATCAATGCTAAAATCCTTTTGACCCTACTGAAATTGCTATAGCAGAGCCTCCGGTTTGGGGATCCCCGCTCGCGGACTTTTAAAGAGTCGCTGGGTTCATACATAAAGCACTAAATGCGTACTTGCTGGCAGCGGAGTTCCACTGCAGACCTGCATTCTAATAAAGTTCCGAGGTACCTGGAATTATGACCTCAGACATCAATATTTTTTTTTCTTCAGCTTCCAAGGTTCTTTTGCTGCCGTCCTCTTTTGTGAAGCTCCTTTACTTGCCCCTTTGACTTGGCCAGCAAGCATACATTTTCATTCGTCAAAGCGGCTGCAACCATTATTACTGGGCAGATTCAGGCAGTGAATGCCCAGCTGCAAGTCTTACTACAGGCTACAGATACGGCGACAAGCAACCCGGCAAGCTTACTAAATGCGTACATGTACCCTAGCAGCAAACGAGTGCCGCTGATATAAGAGGAACGAACAACCAATCGTGTTTGGCTTGCGGCTGAAAGCACATTTGATCTTATATGCCTGATCAACACCAAGTCCGCACAGCCTGCTACAGTCGTTGCCTTTTTCACAAACTCAATCTTTGAGCCAGCGGGAGAAAAAAAGGAACATTGGAAACCTAAAACAAAGGATCAAGCCAACAAATATCGCTACAGCGCTGGCTCTAGCGCTGCCTACGGGGGAGCAGGCCACTGAAGCCGTCCATCGCTAGCAAGGTGGCAGCGGCAGAGCCCCGCAGGCAGACGACATCACTTCTCCACCAAGACCCAAAGCTGCATCTTTGTCAGCCTCGCCATTCCACCTGCTTCTACGTTTCATAAACGTTGGTTTACCGCGAAACCTGCGTTCCGTTTTTGTTTTTGCCCGTTTCAGTGTCCTTGTTGGTTTCTCGTCGTTTTCCCTGCTCGACATACGGAACCTGGGAGCCTCTTTCATTTCTACTCTCTCCAAGAGTCGTCCGCCATGGATCCCAACCAGACGCCCGCGGGGCCTGATGGCCCTGATAAAGAAAAGATGGAGCAGGTAAGTCGCCTCGTGCATCCTCTGAGCCGCCACTGCGGGTGATGGCCGTCTTGACGGGAAACTGACGATTGTCGATACAGATTCGAGCACGGCGTCTGGCCAAGCTGGGCAACCCAGCTCCCCCAAAGCCGGCGGAGAGCACGCCTGCAGAGGCTGGGAGCTCATCATCACCTGCTCCTCCGCAGTCGGGCTCTCCAGCCCCCGAGGCCGAATCCGAGACCAAGAAGACCAAGATCACCATCACACCGGCGGCTCAGCCGACCTCAAACCCTTTTGCGCAGCTCGGCGTGCGGTCGAGCAAACCGACCGACCCCGAAGGCTCTACAGGTACTTTTCGTGTTGCTCGCAAGAGGTCCGCCTCTCAAGTTGACGACGTCCTTTCAGCACCACCCCCGCGTAAAGCCACTCCCGTCCAGCCCGAGTCGGATGAGGACTATGCCGATAGAATTCTCAGCCAAATCTTCCGCATAACGGTCGATCCCCACCGGATGACAAGCAATGGCAACCATCGCCTGACCTTTCTCCCGAGTCTGAACCAAGAGCTCAACGATTCCGGGGAGCCCTTGAAGCTGTCTGTTAATACTTTGGATCAGGCCATCATAGAGGCTTGTAGCAGCTGGTCTTCTGATAAGCCTCTGATGCACTATCTTCTACCATGCTGGAAGAGAGCTGTCAAGGCAGGGTCGGCGAATAAGCAACCGAGCGGCCCCAAGTTCGACCTACACGAAGAGTCGAAGCGTCTGTGCATGAGCAACTGCCTCTTCGCCGTTACTATGCCGGTTTTATATGGGTTAGTTGCACATGATTTGGAGGCAGTCCCTGAATACTTTTCATATCTGATACCTTTTCTTCCAGTCGCGAGCCAAACCCAAACCACGACACTATTGCCCCTTATCTTCTCAAGGGTCCGGTAGATGAGGGTGGGATTTGCCTCGATTTCATCAAAGAGGCTATTAAGCGGTTTGATGATGATGAGGCTTTCCCAGCCATCTTTAACGATGCCATGGTCAAGCTCAGCACTCAGCTATCTGGAATTTCCATGAGCGACGAATACAAGCCATATGTCCAGGTTAGTCTTGATTATTTCTCGTCAAGTGCAAATTTCGCCACATCATGAGCTACACGATGAACTGACATGTGATATTCGCAGGCACTGCTAACATACACACGCTTCCCTATCTTAATATCTAATCTCGCCACGCACGCCTGCTTCAAACTACCTCTTTCGCCACACACCATTGAGAGGAACACCATTCTCGGCCCCTTCTTTCGTTTATCCCCCCTACAGCCAGAAGTGATCAAAAGCTACTTTCCCGGGTCACGTACTCTAGACAAGGCACGCATTACCAACGCGCAAGACGCTCTGCGAATGGTGTTGAGGACACACCAAGACGACTTATTCGTCATTACCAACGCTTTCATTCGGGCAGGGCCAGATACAAGAAATCGTACATTGGATTGGTTTGCCTACATCCTAAACACCAACCACAAACGGAGAGCTATCCAGGTGGACCCTAGAGAGGTTGCCTCAGACGGATTCATGATGAACATCACCACGATTTTGGATCGATTCTGCGAACCATTCATGGAAATGGATTTTAGCAAAATAGACAAGATTGATGTCCGATATTTTCGGAGGCAGCCGCGAGTTGATATCTCAGATGAGACTAAGCTCAACGCCGATCAAGCTGCTGCTGAAAAGTATTATGCTCAAAAGGAAGAGGGGGACTCAAACTTCATCTCAGAGGCCTTCTTCCTGACACTTGCTGCTCACCACTATGGCAGCGAGGCACTCAACTCGCAACTGAAGAATCTCGATCGCGAGATCAAGTACTTGGAGAGACATCTCAAGGCTATGGAGGCAGAGCGATCAAAAGTAGCTAACGCGCCGCATCAACTTAGGCTGTTCGAAGAAACCCTTAAGAGGCATACGAACGTGCTTGAGAAGACAATAGCGCTGAAATACTCAATTGAGGGCGTTCTGCTCGACGAAAGGATGCAGAGTACTTCCCTGCGCTTCATGAGATATGTTGCTGTGTGGCTGCTTCGTATTGCAACAGGGTCCGATTACAAGCCTGGAACTGAGACTGAGACCATCAAGTAAGGTTCCGGTATTTATTTCATGTAAGCCATTTTACTAACAACACTGCTCTAGGCTACCTATTGAATTAGCAAACTCTGGCGCTTTTGCGTATCTTCCCGAATATGCGCTTCAGAATATTGTTGACAACTTCAAGTTTGTGTTCCGGTAAGCATTTCGAGGCTAGCTTTCAATTTCTCTTGGCGAAAATGAAACTCTTGAAACTAATCGAACCCGTTTTCCTTGATAGGTGGCTTCCCACCATTCTTCCTAGCGCTGTGGGCGAGGAAATGATTGCTCTGTGCATCACCTTCCTTCGGTCTTCAGAACAGATCAAAAACCCATATCTTAAATCATCACTGGTGTCTCTGCTCTTCTCCGGAACCTGGCCGTTTATGCATCTCAAGAGAGGTGTTTTGGGCGATCAGCTCATCTCCATCAAGTTTGCCAACGACTTTTTGTTGCATGCTTTGATGAAATTCTACATCGAGTGCGAGTCTACTGGAGCTAACACGGCTTTCTACGACAAGTTCAACATACGATATGAAATCTTCCAAGTCATCAAATGCGTATGGATTAACGATGTTTACAGACAACAGCTTATCAAAGAAAGCAAGTAAGTAAATCATTGTCTGAATTTTTTTTTCTGAGCCACTCACACATCCATCTGCAAATATCTAACGTACTTTTAGGGTCAACCGAGGTTTCTTTGTTCAATTCGTCAATATGCTTCTCAATGATACCACGTACGTCCTTGATGAGGCATTCACAAAGTTCCCCAAGATGCGCGGTCTTGAGAGAGAGCTTGAGGATCGCAGCATGTCAACAGAGGACCGACAGAAGAAGGAAGAGGAGCTACAGAGCCTAGGAAGCCAAGCGACATCTTACATGCAGCTGGCCAACGAGACCCTTGAGATGATGAAACTCTTTACCAAGACATTAAGCGAGGCCTTCACCATGCCCGAGATTGTCTCACGTCTGGCGAGCATGTTGAACTACAACCTCGAGACGTTGGCTGGCAAGAAAGCTGCAGCCGAGCTGAGCGTTTCGAATAGAGAAAAATACCATTTCCGGCCTCTTCAGCTGCTCTCCGACTTTGTCGATATCTACTTGAACCTTGGAGCATCATCCGTCTTCATCGAGGCTGTCGCAGCAGACGGACGCTCTTACAAGCCAGAGGTTCTGGATCGCGTCGCCTACATCCTGTCATCCAAACACCAGAAAGACACCGCAGACATTGCTCGATGGGACAAGCTCAAGGTCAAGTTCATCAAGGCGAAGGAGCAGCAGGACCAAGCCGAGATGGATCTCGGCGACATCCCGCCCGAGTTTGAAGACCCCATCATGGGAGAGCTGATGAAGGATCCCGTGCTCTTACCGAGTAGGCACGTTGTCGATCGATCGACCATCGTGCAGCACTTGCTGAGCGACCCGAAAGATCCGTTTACGCGTCAGCCTATGACTATTGAGGATGCCGTTCCGCAGACGGAGCTGAAGGAGAAGATTGAGAAGTGGAGGCTTGAGAGGATCCAGGCTTCAAAGGAGAAGCTGGCACAACAAGGAGATGATGCCATGGATACTGCTGAGGGCTAAGGCTAAGAAGGTTAGAGAGATGTTGTTGTTGTTGCTAACCTGTGAGGGTCAAGTAGACAGGGATTTGGCATTGGCATGATGGACATGAAGAGCATGTTTTGACTGCTTTCTGCTCCTTCCAATCACGTATTTCCCCCCTTTCGCTCCCTATCTATTCATTGTCTTTCTTTCTTTGTTTTTCTTGTCGGTCTGGTTGATGTTGGGAAAGGGAAACCAGTTGGGAAATTCATCTGCGGCGAACAATAAAGAAGGCCCCTTTATGACGAATGATACACATAGGTATGACAGAGAATAGATTTCATGATTATGTACTCGGAGTTTATGACACTTTACCTTTTTTACATACCATCCACTTCCAATGTGAAGGAGAACATGAAGCACTCTTTGACTCCAGCTCATCAAAAGTTCTGCTCTACACGCTACAGCTATGAATAGAAGGTAGATACCTAGATCGACTCCCAATTTCTCTAGAGAGAATAGAGTATAGGCCATCCTACCTTGTATGTATCAGAAAAAAAGGTCACATCCGCAAAACACCTAGGCCCCTAGTAGATGAAAACTACCTCGGTCTTTCACGTGGCAAAAAAAGAAGAGCAACCAAGAAGTCGGTGAGATGCGAACAAATTTAGACAAAAAGCCGACCCTATTAAACAAGAACAAAAAAACAAGGCGGTAAAGCAACTTCCATTTGTCATAGATGACCAAATAGCAAGCAGCGCATTAGTAAATTAAGCCAAACAAGGCAAAACAAGAGCGGCTAAGGCACGGTCATCCGAAATACTACAGTAGTGTAGAAGAAAGTATCCGGGCTGGGAAGGGGACAAAAAAAAAAAAAAAAAGAGGGACGATATCGACGGGCGTGAGGGGTGGCCAATACAGGGGGGGGGGAAGAGTAAGCACTGCTATCTCTTCGTCTTATTGTTCGACAAACGAAGGATTGGTATAGGAATGTTCTGAAACAGAGAGAGAAAAAGGATGAGAACGGGGGTGGCAAAGTGCGTGAGCGTAAGAGCGTCAAAGCAGCAAGAAAGGAAGAGGAAAAGAGGCCTCTTACAAATCACAAGCATATGCCCCTTCATGCGAGTAAGGGCAGGTCCGCCATCATGGCCGGGTCACTGTACACTTAACTCCGAGTCTTGTATACTAGCAGGATTTCACACAGAGCCAAAAAGTGGTAGGTAAGAGGCCAGAGGGATCTACTCAGGGGGGTAGGGTACGGAGTGAGACAAAAGAGAAACTAGGCTTCAATGTTTCTTGCACGGACGGAGCACTTCCGAAAGCCATTTGCTGACGCTTGATGGGAATATTGTCCGATGGCCCGACGCAGGCCTGCTAGGACGCGAGCCAGCTTCATGCATCGACTTTCATCTTGAGCCTCGAGATCGGTTTGCCAGCCGATGTCCGCGCGACAATCGGCAGCCACTCCCGGCCTAGAAGGAGTTCGGCTCGTTCCAGGACCGCTCGCGATGACCGCGCTGGGCCTGGATTACTCCGTATTCCGCACAGAGATGGCCTTGTACCCGTATATGGTATATAGCTGGTCTTCTATCCGCTGCCTTCGCCGCCTGTTACTCCCAGGCAATGGTCCACAGAGCAACTCGGGACATGAACCTGTAAGCCTTACTCCTGCAGGCTTGCGTCATTTCGTTCCATTGTCCAAGACCCATCGGTGGATTGAAGGCTAATACTTAGGCCTAGATGCCGACCACTTGGTCTGTTGTCCCCGCGATTGAGGGGCTTCCAGATCCAGTACAAGGCAGGACCCAGCCAAGGAGTGTTGAAACGTGGCTATTAGCAATAGCGGAGGCCCGAGAAGGAACCTGGTGCCCGATCACTAAGCAGCAGAGGAGAGGAGTGCTCGGTAAAAATGACAAAGACAAGCTCGGCCCAAAAACCTTCCAAGCTTCCAAAGCCCAGCAGCCTGGATCATTTCCAGGCGGCCTGCCGTAAATGGGAGACTAAGGCAATGCTTAACAACAGGCTAAGCAAGTCTCAGCGCCGGAGACTCCACATCTTGCCTCTTCCCACAGCACTATCAAGACTCAGCAGCCTGTTCTGGTGCCATCGTGGGGGCCATGCCCTTGGCCCAACATGGTAGGAAGCATTCTGAGTGGCCATGAAACTCCGCTCTCTGGACGAAGCTGCGTGCCTGTATCAGCGCTGAGCAATGTGCCAGGCCAGGCGAAACACATCGTGGCCGTGTTCCGTTCCGTGCTCCGTGCTCCGTGCTCGTGCTTGTAGCATCATCTCGGCTAAGCCGCCGTGGTTTGCCGCAAGTCGTTTGCCGCACCACACTCGCCGACGATCGACAGATAGTGTCGCGTCGCCCCCGGGCTCTTCAGCACACACAAAGTGGCTAGCGCCATCACCGAAACCCGGCTGCAGTCAGCAATCTTTGGTGTTTGAGGGATCTCTGACGACGCAGCGCGGAACCCTTTTCCGAAAACACAAGGCGCTTAACGAGCTGGCCTGCATACGTAATTCGGACATGGGGATCTCTTTAATCTCGGACAGACGGCTACAGGCCGAAAAGCTTGGCCTGAGAAGGTGCGCAGTGCGACGGCCGCCATCAGAAATCGGCAATCAAACACTCCTTGTGCATCGGTCTGTGCTGGCGAGAACGTATTTCAGTTGGATACGCGCCCAACTCGCACAGCTGCTTCACAGCCATGGTGCTTGAACGAGTACCTACGTCGTAGAAAGGCCCATAAAAGTACCCAGCATGCCCCCTTTGCCTTTGGCATGCTTGTACGGAGTAATGTGAGTGTGCTGCGCTGCAGACACTTCCTCGCGTGATGTGCCTTGTGTCGGTACGGCTTTTGTTTAGCCACCCTCCCCGGACACGTCAGACGACTGCAACCCTCCAGCTTCGGTTGCTACCACGGGAGCTTAGGTCTTTCAGCTATGATGCGAGGCCAGTACTGCGACCACCCTTCCCAAAACGACATCCCTGGCTTGGATATCTGCGACCAAGCGATGGGACAGGAAGAAGCGTCAATCTTCGGAAAACGCTGGCGGTCTAAGCGAGTCACATGTGTGCCATCAAGAGGCCCTATCGCGTGGGTAGTCCCGTTAAACATCCACAACGAGCATGCTAAAGGCAGACCCCAGGACGCCAACATCCGGAGACTGTGAGTTAGCCGCCCGGCTTTGGCTAGGCTGCGAGCAGCACAAACAAGGAATCCTTGAGCTTTCCCCACAGTGCAGTGCACCACGTCTCCGACGCTAGGAGGCATATTTCGCCCCAGCTTCAACTCATGCCGTCTCTACTCTGTGCTTCGTCCAAGTACGAGGAGCGCAAATCATGATTCCAACTCTTCCGGAGGATACCGCACTGTCTTGTCTAGTAGAAATAGCGCTGCCGACAGGTGTATCCCACATCAGACATGTTCAACTTGCTGCAGAGCTGGAATCTGAAACTATTGTTCAAGGCTTGTTCCTTTGCATCCAAGTATAGCAGTTACCTTGAGTGCCACAAAACGCTTCGATTCTGTGAAGCATATCCATGTGCGTCATTCTCATAGTCTGTGGTGGTCTTATCGCAAATTGTGGCTCCAACAATTATACTTGTGAAGCGCCTCTTGCGCTTCAAGGAGCTTTTCATCGTGCGTCCCGCGCAAATCGACTCCGGGCAACAACGCCAGTTGCAGATGTACTACTTCCAAGTACTTGTATGACTAGCAGCATTAGCGGTAGTAGAGGTAGTGTTAGCAAATGCAGGCCATGTAAATCGCTCAACGCGTGCCCCTGGGATCTTGGGAGGGTCTCAAGACCATGCGCTTGTCCTCTTTGTCCCCTCGGAATGTGGGCGGGCAAGCCCATTGTTGTTCTCGGTAACCCCGGTTCGGCGCTAAACGAGACACCCTGCACTTGTCCATCCATACGGCAATGCTCCATACGCAGTACAAGCTTCCGGGACGCGGCAAGGATGAGCATGGCCGTGATTCGTGCTAGTGCTAGTGGTACGGAGCACTCCGTGCTAGCTCGTGAGATAGCCGTGTGGCCTAATCTTATAATTCTTGATCACAGCGGTCCTGGTGGCTTGTCAGAGTGCTCGTACTTGTAGGTTGGGAACGGGACACATGCAGTGTGGCAAGACGTATGAGCAGCCCAACAACTGACTTGTGCGCTACGGCGCCTCAATATACCCTTCAGCCTTCTTCAGAGTGACGCCTATGCCTCAGGTAGCCACCTACTGTACGTTGTGTCATGCTGCTCTCCACAACGCTTTGACTACTGTTCGTAGTAGCTCAATTCGGCCGCGACGATCAACTGATAATGGAATGACGCCACCTTGACTCTGGTATCAATTCTCGAGGCTAGTTTGTATCTCAAAATCATGCTAGACGGCCGAGAAGGGGGGGAGGGGGGTTATACATTGTGGTCGAAAGAATCTGGTACCCCGAGTAAATAAACGCAAGCGTCCTCTGGCAATGAGGCGATCAGAATAGAAACTGAATTGAGTTATACTTACTCCGCATCGAATACCTAGTGCCGCTACACATACTTCAAAGCAGTGAAACCCTTGCAGAGTAGGCGCAGCCTTACGCAAAGAAGCTGATTCCTCTCTTTCGCTCTCCTCCACAACTCTTGCAAATGGTTCGGGATACCGTTAATGAAGGTGCTTGCGGACCTATCCGGACACAGATGGTCGTGGCTGTACCTCACTGAGCATATAGAGAGAAGCCATAACCGAGAGAAGAGCGCCGGATTGTGATGCTGACTAACAGCTTCGTACCTGGATGCTGTTTAGGAATCAGTCCACTAATCGGCTAACGGCCTTTTCACGTCAATAGATCTAATATGCCCATACGCGAGCCATGCTGGAGACAACTGCCGCCTTGCTCTTGGTAGGTTTTGGTCCAAACTGCAAGAAGAGGTTGATTATCTTCTGTCTGGCTTGGGTGGGGCGGTCTAAGACGGCAGCTACTTGTATGTTTCCTCCGGAATGAACCGATACAACGCAGATCTAGACATCTAGACATTGGATATCCGTGCAAGAAAAGTGAGTGCTGATCTCTCAAGAGCCACCATGTATGCAGTATCAGATATCATATCATGTTCTTCATAGTCCGCATGGATGATTTCGTAGAGCACGCATCGGTGCCAAGTTCTGCTCCCGAGTCTTAGGGAGATGGGCGTTGGGCGTCTAGGTCGTGCACCAAGGGATGGATATATTGGGCTGTTGGTCGGCGATCATAGACACAGTACTGCTTTGCCAACCTCGGCTGCGCGCCGTACTTTTGTTTACTAAAGGTTCAATCGGCAAAGACAAACAAAGGAGGCAGCGAACTGCAGCCCAAGCCGCGATGCCAGGCAGTAACGGTAGTACACAGTATTACTGCACCATAATCCAGACGGTTAGTCGAAGCGAAATCTTCTGGAAACAATGGCTATCCTTCCAATCCACGCTTCTGGGTACCCTGCCAGCCTTCAGCCGCAAGGCCGGTGTTTCGAGTTAAAGGAGATGCTGTTCTAGATGTGGGGCCAGAGGCGAGTTCGGTTTTCCGTCTTGGTGCGCCTCGGAATGGAAAACTGCGTGCGTAACCACCACCATCTTCATCTGCAGAGACCCAGTGGTCAGAAGAGTGGTCTGCATTAACTCCCACTCGCAGAAGCTGGCGCTAGTGCTATCATCAAGTTATAGTGCGAGCAATAATGCGTGTACCGTGTGTCATGACATGCTCCGTCAAATAGCGATTCTCGCTTAGCTCTTTGGTTCCCACTGCGTACCGTGTTGACCGTGTTGTCCATGGATCTGTTTGTGGGTAGCAGCATCAGTTGTCGGCCCTGGCTGTGTCTACATAGTATAGTACCCAAGGCAGCTTGAGCAAAGCTTTGAATCGGATGATTGGCAGCGTTTGGTGACGCTTGACGCATTCAACTTGGGATACCTATTCACCCGCACGTTGAATGATTCGGATCATGGGCGGGCCAAATGTAGTAAGCGGTCGATGAAGAGCGCCACGCATATGCCGTACTCGTCTGGTCGAGCAGGAAGCGGTCTCTCCGCCATGTCGCTGCTCATTTCTTATTCGCGGGCAAAGGCCTCCCAGATACTAGGGGGTTGCCTAGAAGGGTCGACCAAGAAAGATGGAGATACGAATTCGTCGATGTCGACCCCTGGTCTCGGTGACCAGCCTGCAGCGCTGCCGATCACTACTGACATCGCTGTTGCTGAACCCACTGCTCCATAGCCATGACGAGATATATGGGGGTCTTCATATGCAGACAGTAGCGCTCGACCCAATCATTAGCGCTCCTGTCGGATGTGTGCTCGCCCATTTTCGACTCGGAGGCAACGGGGGATTTCGTGCGCGCGGGCGGAGTGTAGAAGCGTAGGCACTTGTAGGTATTTCGTAGGATCTAGGTCGTCCCCGCTGATTCTCTACAAGGACAGAAGTCAACACCGGCACAGCTGACCGCAACGCCTCGCATGCATACTGTATCTACTGTACAGTAAATTGGTGTTGCGAACTAACCCTTGGCAATACAAAGCAGCTCAAATCAGACCCCCAAGGACGACTGTTTCGGAGGCTCCGCAATGGCCATCGGTAATGAAGCACGGCTGTACTGTAGGCTCTAAAGTAGCAGTGCGGAGAACTTGGCCTCCTGCTAGACATTTTGATAGGAGGAGGTACGAGTCAAGGTGAACAGGCAGCTGTTATTGGGCAATAGTTTGCGGAATAACAATACTGTACATGTACTCTCTAAGAAATGCGAGATTGGGCTTCCCCCAACAAGATGACCAGGCCTACCTGCCCAATTCTTCCTTCCGCACTTGCCTGGCGGTGTACTGGATTCCGCATTTCCAATCTCCAGCCCGCAAGGCACTACTACTTGTAAGTAGTTAGCACGGCGATACACTCGGAACCCGTAGCTATCACACCGCTGAACGCGTACTGGGCATGGCCTGAAATTCCGCTCCCGCATTGGCCGCAGCAGGCGACGAGCTGCTCTCCCACGTGTGGCGATGCCAGCCCTGCTAGATGCCCCGTACAGGCATTCATGTTCCCTCGAGGGTATCTGACTAGCGGCAGTACGGGGTATCGAGTAGGGTTGTAGGTGCCGTCGGCCGTATCGCCTGCCTGCAGCATGAATATGATACGTGCGGGTACATGCTTTAGTGCGCTGCAGGGCTTCGCTTTACTGGCAAGACTGGTTATCAATCAGGCAATTTTACGGCGTCTAGTGCTTCGTAGTCGCCGAGAGCCTGCCGATATGGGTGCCCAGGCCACCGGTGCCAGGCACTGCAGACACGCGAACTGGCAAGGACCAGGTATCTCAGCAGTGGAAGACTGAACTTTGAGTACCTGCCTATAGAATTGACCTCTGAATGGCCCCAGAAGGAGCTGTTTGGCTGGTTAACCCAGGGAAGGTGCAACGGAAGCAATAGCATGACGTGGGCGCATCTTTCGAGATGCAAGAGCTACTGCCAATGGGCAAACCGGGTTTCATTACTTCGTTTCTTGCAGACAGATGGATTGGGGGCACAGATACTAGTAGTTTATTCGATGTGTTTGAATGCTTACGAGTACCTAACCGCCGCTAAACCCTCGAGGCTCAGACATCCAGGGCTCCATGCGCATAACATACCAAGGCTCGTCTCTAATGAGGTGTTCGTGCCCCAGGTAAGTATAGGTATCTGTCAAGTGAGTCTTGTTTCAAACAGATGCTATCTGGCGAGCAGAAGTGCACACCTCTCCCATCATTCTTATCAGCTGGGAGGGAACCAAGAGCAGCTACTCGTACGTTAATTCTTGCTGAGTATCAGATTTCTTGAAACCGGGCCTCGTTTCGACAGAACGATTAATGAGGGAAATGAACCTGGACATCCACGGACACCACCGGGCTCTTGGCAAGCAGAAAAGAGAGAGCTACGCCGCTCAAGTACTTGTACTGTACCCTTGAAGCCATGCCGTGTAATCCTCATCGAGGACTGCTACAGTATATGGATCCAACGTCTCCTGTCGTGTAACTGGTTTCACACCTCTTTGGCTTTGATCAGTTGTCACATTTCATCCTCGGCGCTGTTGCCTGGGTATGACCTTGAGCCCATCTCAGCGCGGCCGCTTTGACATGCCCACAGTACAGTATTGTCCCCTTGTGGGTACGGAGGTGGTGTTGCAGATACGCAATCACCATCTCGCCGCCAGACACCACGCGATGGACACTGTGCCTAGGTTGCGACAGTAATACGGAGTCCTGTGCACCCTGCGAGTGCGCCAGGTTAGCCCACAATCGATGCGACTTCACCACGGAGTAGTCCGAGCGGTTATGCTGCGCGTCGCACCGAGCGTACCATGTTTCCGGGCTCGCGGCCAGAAGACTTCGGACAATCATCAACCCGTTCTGTCGTTGTCACGTAGCGCTTCGCATGCCATCTCAGGCTACCTCTAATCCATGCCGGCAGTGCTATATACCCCCATACGAGTCCGTCAGAAAGCTCAGCAGCTGGCTGGGAATCTCGTGGCTACAGCACAGAGTCCAAACCACACCCTCTAGTCGACGACACACGATCTTGCTATTCTCGGTCTTCGGAAAAGAACTAGACGAAGGTTCTCGGATAAATCTTACTGCTATCTTTCGTGCTAGCCTTTGTTCTCCGCTCTTGCCATCCAGACCCCATGCTCTAGGCAGTTAGTTGCTCTAGCCTCTGGCTCCATCTTGTCTCCGCCAAGCCGGTCTCCTCTAGATACTGTACATAGGTACCCATTCCATGCCGTCGACACAGAGGTATTTGTACATTTATGAGCATGTCCAGCTAGGGCCTTGCGTCACCAAGTACAAGTAAATGTTGCAATCTTCCGGAGACTCCCGATCGCCTGCCTGCTAGGACTACGCCACGCCACGCGCTCTTTGGCTCATCTTTTTGTTGCACATTGCCGCAGAGCCGCCAGATATTGAAGCTGAGTGTTGGCCAGGGTTGTCTCCAGCGCTTTGCTCGGCTCACCAACACCCGGCACCCGGTACTCGCTCCCCAATCTGGCGCTTCGGGCACTACTCCGTGCTCTTGTTACACAGCGTGCCGATATGCAGCAGGTCATTCATGAAACTATGCCGCAGCCGCTCGATGCGGGGTCGTTTTCAACGGCTACCGGTATGTCATCGTCTCCCTCGACATGTTGATTGTATCAAGGTCTGAAGAACTCTAAATTCACATGCCATGTCTGGGGGGGATAAAAGAGTAAAGGGCACTTCTTCTTTGCTATCTCGTTCATGGCTCTATTCATACATATACAGAGAAGAAGACAGAAGGAGAAGGCGAAGAGGATA